AAACGTTTGCAGAAGCAACTCTCGTCAAAATGCGCCGAGCACAACCATATTCTTGACGAATATTTTCCCAGGTCGAAGTCAGACCGATGTATTCGAACAAATTGGACCCGCTGTTTTCGTACAGACGGATCTTTAAAAAAACAATGCATGCTAATACCTCGTGTCTCGCCACTATTTGTGCACGATTTCTTATTTGGCCTTCCAGCAACACAACAAGAATTTCTCTTTTTTCATTTGCACATAAAGGAGATGTTTCCTCCATATCTACGGCTTATATTCTAATGTATAAAAACCTTTCCCTTAGTTGTTTATCATAAAATGCGCTTAGCGCGCAGTGTAATCTTGTCATATGTTGCGATTCACGCAAGCCTATATAAAAGTTAAACTAAACCGCTTCGTCATATTGAAGTTGTACGAAGGTTCAATTTGACGTTTCGAGCGAGACTCTTCGTTTTTTAGAGTTTTATAATATGCGATAAGACTGTTCGAAAAGTCGAGATTTCGTGTATCTCGTATAAAAGTAAGAGCTTATGTTATTGTGTCATTTGTGTGTGCCCTGTTCTTTACGTCATCGGAAGTAATTTGACGCCATTTGACCGCGCAGAAAGTGAACCACATTTTTTGGCCAAATCGGCAAGTTTAAACCCCAATAACTTTTCATTAAATTATTTGTAGAGCTTGCGACTTCAACATAGTCGTTTGTACACTAAACACTTCACGAACATGAAATAAAAAATTTCATTTCATAGGCACTTTAAAGAGCGTTGCCCCCTAACAAGAAGAAGAAGAAGATTAGCAGCGGTTAGGGACCAGTTCTTGGTCCAACAATGCGCCCTGGTCGTTGCGTCTGTTTCATAACATAGATGGAAGGAAGTATAAATGTTCAAGGTGATTAAAACAGGCAAGTATTCAACAATAACTATTGGCTAATATGCATGTCTTTTAACCATTTCAATTCAAACATGATAATTACTCCGGCGTCAGCGACAGAGTTGAAAATTCTACTAGTACTTAAAATGTACTAGTACTTAAAATGCGTATGTGATTGGATTTATCTATGTCCCAGTCTTGTCTCCCAAGAGTTGTGGTGCACAGCTTTGGCTAATTTTCCGATGCGCGATTCGATTTCGTTCGCATGATACGGCAATTCCTCCAAAAGGAACAAATAAACCGTTCTTTTCATGCTTTTCGATTAAGTTTAGATTGAATTGGGGTAAGAATATATTTAATACATGTAGATTCTGGTCCTATTTTAGTAATATCGCTGCTATTTCGCCGTTTCACAAGATGATGTGGTCGTGTATGGGCGCTTTGACTCGTCGTAGTTTGCACAGGATCGAAGATTTAATAAAACTATATAAGCGCGAATTCCAAAGGCAAAGTGTAAGACAAAGCGAATGTATCATGCCGTTTATTTACATTTTTGAACAATTGAACTTCTATACTTTTTAAAGTACGATGTGCTTCTAAATTTCGCGATCGAACAACATTTAGGTTCGCAAGGCATCTAAATGAATATGAACTGTATTGTTTATGTTCAGAAGCTTTATATTGAAGACTGGCACGTGAGCACCACGCCGGTGTCACGCGAAATTTATGACTTGCGAAATATATGAGTGTCGCAGTTCTGGGCATGCGCAAATGCGCGCATAAATTACATTCTGTTCATAAATTTCGCAACTTGTTTACCGTTCAACACGTATTCTCTGACTTGTCTCGAAGGAAGATTTTTCGAAGTTTTTTCTTTCCTAAATGGCTGCAAATTCAACAACTGAATCAGCTTGCTGTTCTGGCGTTAAAGCGAAGAAACCTGACTCGGAAATCAGTAAATATAAGGTATGTCATTGTCGTCCAAACTCTGTTTAGTTCGAATTCAAATGTTCGATGACTTCGATCTGATACCGATATTCGGACTGTTGTTTTAATGTAATTATTGTGATCATACTGATCATAACCAAGATATTACTGTTATTGATATTTATTAATTTGTCGTTGTTTTGGCCATGTATTAACACTATAAATTGAATGTCTTAGGCTTAAGTGGAAGAAGTGCTGCACTTCCTAAAATCAGGATGCCAGGAACCTACTCATTTTGCCACTCTTGACAAAGTCGCAAGGAAAAAATATCCACATGCTGTCTCAATTCTCGAGAAACTTTGAATATGAAGGTATGTCTAGCCATTTAATAACTTCGCATTGACGCATCGCATCATAATAATATGTGATATGATCTTATAAATTTTATTATTGTTACTTGTTTTATAGCTCTTATTATTCATTTGGCTTTTATAGCTCTTATTATTCATTTAGCTTATATATTTACCCTTTATGTACACATTCAAAAGTGAATCTGAAAACTTACACACATGTCTACTAACTACTGTTTGGAATTTTTGTTGCAGTGCTGTTGGGAGAAATACAAGTGTGTGCAAAATTTGCAAGAAAGATGATGGTGAAGACTGGCTTGGGTGTGACCGGTGCTATCAATTCTTTCACGCCAGTTGCAGAAGTGTAAACTTCGCAACAGCACTTTCAGGAAAATTTTATTGCTAATGTGCAGCTAGGTGAAGTGATGCAAGGTGCAGATGTAAATATATGTAAATAAGATATAAATTCCAATGATGTAAATAATTTTGGTAGAACTGTTAAAATTATCTTGTCAGAAATTAAATGAAGCAATGTACCATTATACTTGAATTTTTGTGGTAGTATAATACCAACTATACTTTTTCAAATTCGATAATCAATAGTATTTTAGCGATTTAAATAGCCTTCAATGATGTTTTATCTGTCCTAGTGAATCTTTGTTTTACACGTTTCTCGATTAATTACTAAAACGTACTAAAATTTTGATCAAAATTAGCCAAAACCAAACAGTCACACTCGGCCGCCGAAGTCATAGATTTCGCAATCGTCAGTTTTTCGCTCGAGTAAGCCGCGAAATTCGTGACTCGTCACGCGTGGTCATGTATTTCGCAATGGTCATTAATTTCGCTTGACACCGGAGTTAACGCCAGAACAGGCGTCTTGTTTAGAATAAGTTCTCAATACTTTACATTGTCATTCATCTATATTGTATATGCTTATGATTCCAAAAGACAAAGCTTTGAAGGTTTTAAAGATCTTTCCTCCAAAACATTGTCTGGAATGGAATCATAAGCACATGCTGACAAAGGTATTCGATTTTCTCTTTCCCAAGTAGCTATAAACCAATAGAGTGAATAGACCTTTTCAGCTTGTATCCAAATTAACCTATTTCAAGTCACCATTGCATACAAGCTGAAAAGGTCTATTGGTTTATGGCTACTTGGGAGAGAGAAGAATACCTTTGTCAGCATGTGCTTATGATTCCAATCCAGACAAAGTTTTGGAAGAAAGATTTTAAAGCCTTCAAACCTTTGTCTTTTGGAATCATAAGCATATACAATATACAGGGTGTCCCAAAAAAACCGAAAACTATTGAAATCACTCATTGTTAAAATTTGAATGCCGTGTTCACGAATTACAGCCCGTGGGGATTTAATGCAACTTATAAAATGCTAAATGCTTTGTGTTGCTATAGAAAGGGGACATGTCGTAGGTCATGATCCTTGAGATGCACATTTAAATAATGTTATCCATATTTGTAAATTTTAAATATTGTTAATAAAACAAAATATTTACGAAGGAAATAAGAAATTTATGTAATGTGATTTTATAAATAGACTACTAAGGCAAGGTGTACCCCCAAGGGGATACACCTTGCCGACGATAATTAAAAATCTTATATTATGGGCTTTGCGTTCTATCTAAAAGACCGACAGGTAATGGATGGCACGCAATATGGGAAAGGTGGTGAATGGCCAGCAGCAAATCGAAAACTAACAAAGACCGAATACTCAAACCACAAACGGTCAGTTTAAGCGTGACATCGCAAAAGACAAAGCTCCTTTAAAGTTGAAAGGTATTTACAAAAGTGTTATATTTGTTTTTCTATATATTTATATATTAATATACATATACATCTAGTAGCTACGAATACACAATGGTACCCCCAAAAGTTTTGGTCCTGGGACACTCATTTGTTCGTCGCCTACAGTGCGACCTGAAACGTAAGCGGGATATTCGCATGTGCCCGACCTTTAAACTCAAGGGCACAGCGAGAGTTTATCTACACGGTATAGGGGGTAGAACAGTGGAGAAGATCCGCAAATATGATTTAGGGGTAGTTTCTCGGTGTGCCCCAGATATTGTTATTCTGGAGATAGGCACGAACGATTTGTCCGCTTTAAGGCCCGAAACAGTCGGTTCACGCATTGACGACTTGGTTGCTCTAATGCTAGATCAATATCGCGTAAAATTGGTATGCGTATGCCTGATTTCCCCGCGAAAGAACAACCCTCTTTTTGAAAAGCAGCGTTTAATGCTAAATAATTACCTACAGGTAGTTTTAGAGAAGGTCCCGAGAGTGTTTTTATGGACACACCATGGCTTTATACGACCTTCCGTGACGCCATTTCTACCTGACGGGGTCCATTTTAATAGAATCGGGCAATATAAATTATACCGAAGTTATCGGGGGGCAATTCTTCAAGCAATTAAAATGTTATAAAATTCTTTCTCTCTATATATATATAACAAGCTGCATGTCGTACGTTACATTTACTTTTCTATAACCTTGAAATTTGACAAACTTTACTCGTGATTACTTCTTATGAAGCGCCTTAGCGCCTTTATCTATTCTATCTTTATCTCTTATCTATATGAGAGTTCTCACACTGTTTGTGAGTTTAGTTGGCCATATGATGAACGGTGCGGCAATCTTCGGATCTGTCATGTTCATCCTGCTGACGTTTGACTTTGTCTTTATCTCTCATCTATATGAGAGTTCTCACAAGTTTTGTGAGTTTGTTGTTGGCCATAGGGTGAATGGTGCGGCGATCTTCGAATCTGCCATGTTCATCCTGCTGACGTTTGATTTTATCTCTCCTCTATATGAGAGTTCTCACACTTTTTGTGAGTTTTTTGTTGGCCATAGGGTGAATGGTGCGGCGATCTTCGGATCTGCCATGTTCATCCTGCTGACGTTTTATAATCATTCTTTCACACATTCCAACTTTCAATTACGACAAAATTAATAACGAACGAATCCTCACTATTGAATGTTCGCCTTACGGGGGATAGTTTTATTTCTCGCACAACGACAAAAATTTGGGTACGGTTGCTTTACTATCTTTAACTCATCACGCCATAAGTATCTATTTCTGCTTTTAAAGTTTTATTTTTTAGAATGCCACCCGTGCGTCGTTCTAAGCGTGTCGCCGCTCCATCAGCCGTTTTGCGAGAGTCTGTTCAGAACCAACCAACAACATCTCGCCGAACTCGAAGTTCGCCCGATGCTGTATCTGTTGGTGCCACCCCGTCAACGTCAACTGTGCCCGTGAGTGATGTGGCTTTGCCCTCTCTTTCGAGTGAGCTTATCTCAACACTGGTGTCTTCGGTTACCGAGGCAGTCACGCAAAAGTTAGCTGGCTTCTTACCAACCTCTGCGTCTTCAACATCCACAATGGCGTCTGCCCCAACAGAATCTACCTCCGGAATCGAAATCTCAAACCAGGGTCCCAATGCAGATTCTCTGGTCAACGACGCGCTCACGTCCATACAAGAAAACCTTACAGGTCAGACCACTCCTTTTTCTCTTCCATGTTCAAGTGCTCCGGGTCCACGGGAATCGTTCCACTCTGCCGCTTTGCCTCTTGATTCGCGGATTCCGGATAAAATAAAGTTTAAAATATGGAATGAGGAGTTTGTCGATATAAGTACTTTGTCAGGTGGCCCAGACGCGGCCGCTAAATACGAGATTAGTGTACGGACCTCTGACAACGGTCAACCTGCTTCTCTTTTTCTTGAGCCGGCTGCGAAATCCAAAAGGGTCAAAACTATTAGCGATTGGCTTCGTTCGTTTCATATTTTTGTTTCCATTTATACACAACGGTACCCTCATGAGTCCCCCGCGCTCATGAAATATTGTCAAATCATCCAGGATTTGGCCAATAGGGGTCATAATTGGTTTTACTACGATGAGAATTTTCGATTTTTGCGCCAAACACAGGCCACGCGCGTTCCCTGGGCGACCGTTCACTGGGAGTTATGGTTGAAATCTCAATATCCCACTACGTCTAAGCCGAACACGCAAGGCAACAATTATACGCGCCACCCTTCAAAGGTGTCTGTTCCTCGGGGATATTGTTTTAAGTTTCATCGCGGAACGTTTTGTGCCGGTTGTGATTTCAAGCACATTTGTTTTAAATGCAACGGATCGCACCGTGCCGTGAATTGTAATTTTCGTGCCAATAACAGACCATCTCCCACTGATCGATCGCCTAAGCCTATTTCAACAAAGTCGGTTGCCAACACCCGTAAAACTTCATAATTTACAAATATTGTTAGAAGGTTATCATCCAAGTATTGTTACTACACTAATTTCCAGATTTACTTCGGGTTTTCGCATTCTGTAAATAACGTTGAGAACCGGAAGTAACGCGTTGAACGTCATAATTAATTAAATTCAGAGCACGTGATAGAGCATAAGATTGAGGGTTATAAGTTTTTGTTTTTTGGTTATTGTTAAAATTTCATATGAAGTGAAATATACAAAATTGTTTGTTGTTGTGAAGCGATTTAACGATTGAATGGGAAGCAAATTCGAACGATCATGAAATGGCGCCCAACGTGGGGCTTGTGAGTCCCTTTATGAACGAAATTTAATTCGAAAAACACGAACGAAATGTCGAAAGAAGGTATAGAACGACTTCGCGCTAAACGAGGCGGTCATCGTGGCGTGACCACCAAGCTAGTAAAAGAAGCACTCGAGCTTCTTCAAGCAACCGACGTAGACATTGAGCGATGCGAAGTCATTTCAGGCCAACTCGAAGAGAAAATGAAGATTTTAAACGTCATAAACGAAGAGATTCTTAGCATATGTGAAGTAGACGAGATTGAACGCGAAATCGAGGATGCAGCAGTCGTTGCAGACCGAGTTTTAAACACGAAAAGCAAAATCGAAGGAGCAAAGAAGTCCACAAAGGTAGGAAATGTTAACATTTTCGCATCACCAAGCCCCAGTGTTTCACCTGAAATTGAAAACAGCCCGAGTACAATGGAAGACACAGGTAACATAGCGACGAATGAGAATGTAACTGTAAGAAATGATGGTGAAAACGATGTCAATGCGATAAATGATACGAGTATAAATATCGAAGCGAGCATTGCTAGTACGAACACGAGTTCAACGATTGCCAACGTCCCCATGAGTCCCACACCATCATTGTCGACACTACCAAAACTACCGAAATTAGAACTTCCTAAATTTAGCGGGAAGGTTACAGTGGAGTTCCTTTTGGGATTTGTACAACACTGCCATTCATAGTAATGCCAATATATCAAAGGTGACCAAGTTCAATTACCTGTTTTCGTTACTTGAAGGAAACGCTGCACGCGCTATCAAAGGGCTTACGCTTACATCTGCCAATTACGACGCAGCTATTGAAATTTTACAAGAAAGGTTTGGCAAAACACAGCAAATCATTGCTGCACATATGGACCAAATCTTGCAAATTCCGACATGTACAGAAGGTCGAACAGGGCAATTGAGATTTGTATTTGATAAAATCAGCGTTAATGTTCGTGGACTGGCATCGCTTGGGATTGCCGCTGACCAGTATGGCAGCATGTTAATACCGATAATCATGTCCAAATTGCCATCTGAAATTAGATTGCAAGTAGCGCGTAAGGCATCAGGCAATGTCTGGAAAATCGACGAGCTGCTCAGCACCATCAAGTTTGAAGTTGAGGCACGAGAATTGAGTGAAACAACCCGTTCGAATAATAGTGAAAAGGGCCCCAATAAACCGAAGTCAAACACACAACCAACTGTGGGATCCTTTGTTGTGAATAGAAGTGATAGAGACGGTAGTACTGGTTTCAAAATTAAATGCGCGTACTGTAACGAAGTGCACTATTCTGCGTCATGTGAAAAGGTAACGGACAGGGAAGATCGAATAAAGATTTTACGCAATTCGAAGCGTTGTTTTGTTTGTCTAAGAATAGGCCATCAAGCAAACAAGTGTGATGCCACCAAGAAATGCCGCCATTGTTCTGGCAAACATCATCAGTCAATATGCCCTAGCAACAATTCTCACCGCACTGAAGGCGAAGGTACTAACCGAACCCTAAACAATACCCGTCAAAAAATTGAAGAAACCAAGAAACCAGAAGTACCAGAAGATACCAAAACACCCATCACCACAGCTGTTACCCAGACAACCAAGGGAACTGTTTTGTTGCAGACAGCCAGAGCGATAGTGTCAAATGGTTCCAGGGTTCTTCCCGCCCGTATTTTGTTTGATACAGGAAGCCAAAGGTCCTACATCCGAAGATCGCTCCAGAGTAAGTTAAGATTGAGCCCAGTGGGTAAAGAAACTCTTCAACTAAACACCTTTGGTGAAAACAAATCAAAACGCGAGAACTGCGAGGTATATCAAATGAATATCACAAACAAGAATGGTGGCGAAAGCATTGAAATTACAGCAATTGGGTTTCCAACAATTTGTGCACCCCTTCCTTCGAAGGTAAACGTAAGTGACTATTCACATCTCGATGGCTTGGAACTTGCAGACTTTGACTGTGAAAACAACAACGATGGCGACAACATTGATATTTTAGTGGGTGCAGACCACTATTGGGACATAGTTACTGGCGACGTCATGCGAGGAGAAAATGGACCAACTGCAGTGAGTAGCAAATTGGGTTGGCTTTTATCGGGATGCGCGAAGCATCTTCAGCCGGACGGCTATACATTTAACAACCTTATTTTAGCAGGAGAACGGTTCGACAACTCCAGTACGGTGACTGATGACGATGAGTTAACCACGTCGTTAAGGCGTTTCTTGGAAGCAGAGAGTGTAGGCGTTGATTCCATTGATTCAGAGATTCCTTTAAAGGAACAAAGCTTTGTTCGCGATATTCGATATACAGGGACACGCTATGAGATCAGTCTTCCATGGAAAGAACATCGCCCAGACATCGAGGATGATTATGAGCTATGTCGTAATCGGCTAAAATCGTTACAACAGAAGTTACTTAAGTATCCAAGTCTTCTTGAAGAGTACAACAAGAATATAGAAGAGCAATTAGCAACGGGAGTCATTGAAGAGGTCCAGCCTTCGAATAAAGATCAGGACATTCATTATCTTCCTCATCACTGTGTAATCCGGAAAGACAAGGTTACCACGAAATTACGCGTCGTGTACGACGGGTCAGCTACCACAGAAAAGCGGAACTATTCATTAAACGACTGTTTGCTTACTGGTCCAAACCTCATCCCGCAAATATTTGATATGCTGGTGAAGTTCAGACAAAATCCAGTTGGACTGGTGGCAGACATTGAGAAAGCATTTCTAATGATCGGAATAAGCGAAGAAGATCGAGATATGCTGAGATTTCTATGGTTCAAGGATGCGAGGGATCCACATTCCGAAATTCTGAAGCTTAGGTTTTGTCGATTGGTTTTCGGTCTAAGACCCTCACCGGCTATTCTGGGAGCCACCATTCATCATCATCTCGACTCGCATCAGAAGCAGAAACCCGAAATTGTGGAACATTTAAAGAAATCGCTATATGTAGATGACTTCGTATCGGGGGCCGAGAATGACGAGGAAGCACTTACGATATACAAAGGTACGAAGGAGTTAATGAGCAGTGGAGGATTCAACTTACGAAAATGGAGTTCGAACTCCAAACACCTTGCTACGATCATCGACGAGTTGGAAGATAAGAGAGCCAAGGATTCAACCAATGCATCGCCCAAGGTTGTTCAGGACGACTTGACATTTGCGAAGTCAACAATTGCCAAAGAATCCACAGTCGAAGAGCCCACACAAGTCAAGGTCCTAGGAACTGCATGGGACACAGTCGCAGATGCGTTTCTGTTCAACTTGGAAGAGTTAATCGAGTATTCTAAGTCACTTCCAGTTACGAAAAGATCCTTGTTAAGTTGGTCATCAAAGATATTTGATCCATTAGGATTGTTATCCCTTTCACGATAAAGCTGAAGATGTTATTCCAGATATTATGTTTGAGTAAGGCTGATTGGGACAGTGAGCTGTCAGACGATTTAAGTAAACAGTGCAACGCCTTAATCTCAGAGTTAGAGTTCCTAACAAAGATTCGAGTGCCAAGATGCTATTATCTTTCCGATTTGAATCGTTCCATTACGCAAGTGCACGGATTCAGCGATGCGTCGGAACGCGCTATTGGCGCAGTAGTCTACGTAAGAACAGTGTACGAGAACAGCCACGTTGATGTGAAACTAATGGCCTCGAAAACAAAGGTCGCCCCAGTCAAGAAGCAAACTATTCCCGTTTGGAACTTATTGGAGCAACATTGCTAGCGAATTTAGTAAATTCCCTGTTGAATGCGCTAGAATGGAACGTAGAAATATTCTATTGGGTCGACTCAATGACTGCGCTGCATTGGATAAGAAATGATCGACATTGGAAACAATATGTCCAACATCGAGTAAACAAGATTAGGAATCTATCGTCCATAGAAGCTTGGCGATTCTGCCCCGGATCGTTAAATCCAGCGGATTTGCCCTCGCGTGGCATATCTGCGAAGGAACTTCCGAACAACTCACTATGGTTTAATGGACCCGAATTTTTAACTAAAGATGAGGATCAATGGCCAAAATGTCCAGTAACTAGTGGAACAGAAGCCGACGAGGTATCGCGAGAGATGGCAAATAAACCTTCGAACGTTGTAAGATCACTTGTCATAACAAAGAAGATTCCGAACTTGTTAGATATTAGCAAGATAATCGACATAGATCGTTTCAGTTCCTTGAAAAAACTTCTTCGAGTGACCAGCTACGTGTTGAAAGTCGTCAACGTGATGAAGGTATCAAGATCCGGGAAACGATCAGAATCCCAGAATTCGTTGCAATTAACAGCAAATGAAATTCAGCAGGCCGAGTTATTGTGGATAAAGTCTATTCAACAAGAAGCGTTTAAAACCGAATTATCCTTTGTCTCTTTGGGCGATTCGAAATCAACCCCGCCTGTTTATGTTAACCAGTTTGGACTATTTCTGGACGATGATCATGTCTTAAGGTGCAAGGGTAGATTAAACAACGCATCGTTAGAACTGGGAAGCAAAAATCCGATTTTGCTTCCATGCAAGTCAAGGTTCGTCGAGTTATTGATACGCGAGATCCACCATAAGATAAAACACAGCGGATTACGAGATACATTGACGACCATCCGTGAGCGTTTTTGGGTAATACGTGGTCGTGAGGCAGTAAAAAGAATTATCAAAGTTGCCAAACGCCGTTTTGAGAGTGTATAAGGAACCACGCTTTAACATAGATCACCCTGTAAAGACACCAG